ACCAAACACCAAAGGATCAAGAACTCTAGGCCTGAAGACCAAAGGTCCAATGCCCAAACTGACAGGAAAGAAAAGGGTCACTCCCCTAGCCACCTGGCCTTTGTACCCGCTGTTCCCTCTGGCCCAACATCACCCCTGTCCTGTGTCGTCTGAAAGGGTCCTCCTCACCTTTCAGTTCAGACGGCCCCTCCATCAGGAACCCTTCTGTGGGAGTTAAGTTTGTGCATCAACTTGGCTGGGCCCGGTTGAGGTTGAGTGGCTGGGCAGCTGGATGTAGTTATTCCCCATGGTGAGATTGGTAATTAACTCCATGGTGGCATCTACTGGAGCAGCTGAGTAGCTTCCTTAGGGATGTGGGCTGCTTCCAGTCGATAAGAAGCAGCTTTAAGGAAGGTCTCTAGCTTTTTGGCACGCCTGAACTCTACATGTAGCCAAGTCGTTCAGCAGCCTGCTGTGCCCTGCTGATCCCAGGACTTGAATTAATGGCCTGCCATGTTGTTTGGTAATACTGGGACTGTGCCTTTTGACTTGTCAATCTTGGGCTTGTCAGCTTCAGCAGCCAGCAGCTGTCTGAGTGAAGAAAAGCCTCTAGCTTCAGTGGGCCAGGAGCAGGAGGCAGAGCTGAAGCCCAAGGTTGAGGAGCCTTCACCCAGCCCCTAGAGCCTGGCACTTTGAACTACAAACCAAACCAGACCACCCACTGCCTTTGAGTCAATTCTGACTTCTAGGGACCCTATAGGACAGAGCAGAACTGCTGTAAATCTTTACAAAGGAGACTGCCACATCTTCTCATGCGGAGCGGGTGGTGAGTCCCAAAGGCTAACCTTTCCGTTAGCAGTCAAGCGTTTAACCACTGTGCTACCAGGCTTCCTTACCCACAGGTTTATAAAAAAAAACAAAATCAAACACACTGCCATCAAGTCGATTCTGTCTCACAGCCACCCCCTTTGGGTTTCCAAGGCTGTAAGTCTTTATGGAAGTGGATTGCCCAGTCTTCTGAGGAGTGGCTGGTGGGTTTGAACCGCCAACCTTCTGGTTAGCAGTCAAATGCCTTAGGCACTGTGCCACCACAGCCCCTTCCACAGGCGTATAGCAGATAGATATTTTTGAAGTAATTCATATTCTGAAAGTGCACCCTGCCCTTCCGTGCTCAGCTCAGAAGGCCC